AACCTAATAGACGCCTTTCTGAGTGTTTTGTAAAGAAATGGAAATATTCAAGCCAACTCAAATATGTACTTATGTGTGTAATATAAGCATAAGTTTGCGGATATACTATAAGAAGTAGGTGTGTAGGAAGGACACAAATACCTCAAGATCCTATTTACGAAGAAGATGTTTCGCTAGACTCAGTGAAAACGTTTATTGCGACAGCTGCCTTAATGACATTAAGCTCGTCAATCACTCGACACTATACGTATATCTAAAGAGGGCTAGAGGCATTATGAGACCTTCAGAACAGATAAGAGAACACAGGAGAGGTGTTTCCGATAACCATAATAACATAATGTGTCTCCGTGTTCGATAAACAGTGGTGGTTTACTGAGGAACACATTTCGGTCCGAGCTGGCCAATGTCCCTTAAGACTGAATCTTCTTACATGGCCATGTGTAGGGTGTTCTGGAAGTTTCAGATATCCGATGCGTGTTTCGTACCGTCCGTAAGTAAAAGTAAAGTAAGTAAAGACATCCCCGTAACAGGCCGTGGGGGCCCATAGGTTTGTGAGATGTTGAGGGTCCCACATTTTCTAGACCATCGGCTCAAAGATTGTCAGTCTTACGCGCCGGCCGCGCTTTATTCCCAAGGGAAATTATTTATTTAGTTCCTGGTACTCATTTCTGTTAGAGGCTGAGTCAACCCCAGGGCCATAGTGCGGCCGGAAGGATTGTCCGTATAAAACATATTTTATGGTAGGCTATAATTTGAACCCAACCTCCTATAGAGTGGGGTAAAGCGGCCGGGGCGTGAATCTGACCACTCACCTCAAACTAGTGCCGAGGTCAAGAAAATGTGGATCTATACATCCACTCCTCCATACGCCTTCATGGATTTGCGCTTAATTAGTTAAGGACGGGGACAACTTTCTCTCTTTGAACTTGGGAATGGGCCCACTGTTTGGCCTATAGTATCAGCCCCACATGATATAGATGATGGTGATTGTGGAGCAATCGGCGAAATGAGAATTGGAAGGGGAAACTGAAATACTCGGAGAAAATCTGCCCCAGTGCCACTTTGTCTACCACAAATTCCACATGACCAGACCCGGGCTCGAACCTGGGTCGCCGCAATGGGAAGCCGGCGACTAACCGCCTGAGCTATGGCACGGCTTATACCTTGAATAGGTAAACTTCTTCTTCTGCCTACATGTACTACACTAGAGCCTGTTCCGGCTTCTATGGAAAACGCCTTTCTCGGGGTCTTCTTTGTAATCTTCTACCCATCAGTTTATATAGCTGATTGTTGCTTTTGGTAGGGAATCCTCCTCCGTCCTTGCAATGTCTTCTATCCGTTTTATTCTAGTCTCATCTAATTTACATTTTATGGAATATATTTGTCATTCATCTTCTGTTTTTTCGTTTCTTATTCTTTGTTCCCCGGTACATCCGTTCACTATTCAAACGGATCTCATTTCTGACGCTTGATCCTTCGGTCTCTTCACGCATGCCTCACGTTCCTATAACAAAGTTTCCTCCTCATGGACTTACCCATTGTAGAACGTTAAAAAGGTAAAGCTATCCCTGTAACAGGGCGTGGAGGCCTATAGGGTTTGAGCGGTCGAAGTTTCCACATTTTCTAGGCATTCGACTCACAGATGGCTTCCTACCGCGGCGGCCCGTGTTCGATCCCGGGGTCTGGTCAAGTGGGATTTGTGGTGGACAAAGTGGCGCTGGGGCAGGTTTTCTCCGGGTACTGCGGTTTCCCCTGCCAATCTTCATTCCCCCCAATTGCTCCACAGTCACCCTCACCTATCATCTGGGGCTGGTACAATAGGCCAGAAGTGGCCGCAGTACAAGGGACTTAGTCCCACCCCACTAGCAATAAAGAAAAATACTCAAGAACTTCCCAATATTTTATGGAAGCCGAAGTTTCATTACCGTATTCACAAGAGCCCTCCACTGGTCCCTACCTTGAGCCAGATCAATCCAATCCATACCATCCCATCTTCTCTCTCTAATATCCATTTTAATATTATCCATCCACCTACGTCTTGGTCTTCCTAGTTGTCTCTTTCTTTCTGGCTTTCCCATCAATATCCTGTATACATTCCTCTTCTACCCTTTCGTGCTACATGCCCTGCCAATCTCATCCTCCTTGACTTTTCATCTGTCTTCAATGCAAATATTCTCCTCAACGCCCTGTTCTCAAACACCCTCAGTCTATGCAATCCAAGTCACTGTTTTATATCCGATTAAAATAAATTTATTTGCTTTTATTTGTGTATGGTTTGTTTAACGTCACAGTCGATATTTCGGAAAATGTATCATCGGATCATGAGGTGATTTAATAAAGAGCGAATTGAGAAAAATACGGAAAGAAACATTCGTGATCTGATTTGATGTACTGTCCCATTTGCCTGGAGCAGTAGAAACCAGACTGGGCGGTGTTCCAGTCGGAATGTCAAAATGACACCCCCACTTAACCCATTGCCCTACTACTTAATTTCCTAAGTTAAAATTACCTAGATAAACGTAATTACAGGTTTCAAGGCAAATGCTGAAGTTATCACAAACTTCCGTACCCGTAACACACATCTGTTTTCCACTGTGTAAATAGCCGCTTCATCTTCCAGCTGACTGCATTTCAGTCACTGAAATAGCGGACATAGAGAAACAGGCAGACGCCCATCTTCCGTCGAACTACGGTAATGGGTTGGAACGTAGATATGACATGTAGATCCTAAAGGGTTCTGGCTATGGTGTATAATACTCAAAAATACTGGGTTTTCGGGCTTTGTCCATCTTCCGGTATTCTGAAAATTATAAAACGCAACGTTTCGGAAACTTCATTTGTTTCCATCCTCAGGTGAGCGGGAAGACACCTACTCTGTTGGGTCCCTTAGAGCTAACCTCAATCACTGGACAACCCAAGACAGATTCAGAGTCACTTTATGACTGGAGGTTTGCCGCCAATCAGTTGGTCTTGAGGACAAGCCCCTTGAGACTCACGACCAGTAATTTTATTTTTACAATTGAACACTTGAGGTTATAGTCATTATGTAACATCCGCTCTGACAGCAGGATGGTTCTGTCCTTTACAATTGCTGCTGGCCCTCGCCAGAGCAGTTATTTTCCGGTCCGAGTCCTGCGGGACTCATGTCGAAGTTTTGCTTTCTCGGATTCGAGACTCCCCAACCTGGAGGGTCAGGTCCTCATATTTATATCCCGCAGGAACTGGGTGGCTCGGTTAAACGAAGGATTCCAATTTTCCAGCAAAGTCCCTTGTACTGCGGCCACTTCTGACATATTGTACCAGCCCCAGATGATAGGTGAGGGTGATTGTGGAGCAATTGGTGGAATGAAAATTAGCAGGAGAAACCGAAGTACTGGCAGAAAACCTGCCCAGCGCCACTTTGTCCGCCACAAATCCCACTTGACCAGACCCGGGCTCCAACCCGGGCCGCCGCGGTGGGAAGCCAGCATCTAACCGCTTGAGCTATGGCTCGGCCTGCAAGAGGACTTAGTATCTTATGGACAAAGGCAGCCACGGCATAACAAGGGAACCAATAGAACCCTCTATAGGCCTTAGAGGAACGTCCGGTTTGTGAATCTTGGAGAGTCCATATAGATGCGGAGGTCTGCTATGGTACGGAGTCCATTTGTGTTTTAGATCAACGGGGAGAGTAATTTTGTGTTTGGAAAGGAGTTTCTGTGCTTTTCTCGCAACATTAGCTGTAGGATCTTTGGGCAAGATTTCATTGAGCATTTTCCTGTTATCTTCCTTCGACATAACCTGGTCTCCGGTCTCAGTGAATCTGACATGAATTGTCCAGTGATTGAGGTTCGGTAGTTCTAAAGGACTCCACAGAGCCGGTGTCTCCCCCCCCCCCACCTGAGAACGAAAACAATATCCAATTCCCGAAACGTTGTGTTTTATAGAATACCGGACGATGGACAAAGTCCAGTAACTCAGTAATTCTGAGTAGTTATAACATATTTACTAGGTTTATATTTCTTTAAACATCTCGACTTAAATCTTTCGCACCTTTCTAATGTTCCTATTTTACAGAGTCCGAAACATTATTTTAGAGTGTGCCGCACTTGAGGGCAGCCGTACAGACTTTCACATGTATATCTGCTTTGATAACAGCATATCGCGTATTTATACATACAGAAAGCTCATGACTCAGCAGAAACCTGATATGTAGTATCCTCATTGATTATGATGGAACCACGATAGTAGTTGGTCGGCTTAAAATGTGTCAAAGGAGATTTGGAATTGTGTGGGACTTATGCAACATGCGGTATATGGCGATGCGAAGGTACTGAGATTGGAGATACCGCGTTTAACGAGACCAAGGCCTTATGGGAAATAGGGGATTAGAGAAGAGCAACCACTTTTAACACTCATCGAAGTCTGTTGTCTGTATCTTCATTAAAACAAAAAATAACATAATAACATCGGACATCACTCACTCACTCACTCATGGAGCTGAGCCCTTCTTGAGAAGCCGCCAGTTGTGCAGCTACTCAAGAATTTCGCAGCATTTTATGGAACCCGAATTGCCGTGTTCACAAGAGCCCTCCACTGGTCCCTATCCTGAGCCAGATCAATGTAATCCATATCATCCCATCCTATTTCTCTAAGATCCATTTTAATATTGCCCACCCACCTACACCTTGGTCTTCTTCCCTGTGGTACCCTTCTTTCTGGCTTTCCCACAAATATTCTATATGCATTCCTCTTCTCCCTCATTCGTGCTACATGCCCTGCCCAACTCATCATAACATTGGACATAAAAAGTTTAAATTTTCCAGCAGGAACCGGTAATTGAGACTGGAAATTTACAGTTTGGAACAATGATTGACACCAGTCCTTTCAAAAGAACTCCCCGTGCTAGGTCTCCCTTTCTTCTTCAAGACAGAAAGAGCACAATTTTCGGAACAGTGCGCGATTCGCACCGAAACTAGAAGTGTGGGTCTATCGTTGCATGTATTGCTGTTGTGTTTCAGGCGCTGAACGGGTTCCTGCTTATACTCACGTGTGAAGGGGAAGTGTTCTTCGCAACCCACAGCATTGAGAGTTACCTCGGCTTCCATCAGGTAAGGCTTCACGCCCATTCATGTTTTACTGGCCCAGAGCCTATTGGAATTTCAACGGGAAAATCTTAAACGTACAATTTTTCAAGAATGCCTAACTTCAGTTGCTTTAAAAATTCTGGAAAGACCGCCACATTTTTACTGCGATGCTGAACTCGACAGAATTATATTACGCACTTATTCTATTATCTTTTCTTCATTATTCTTCCTTCCTTCTTTCCTTCCACCTTAACTTGTCTGTTTCCTTTTATCAATAGTCTGTTACGGTCTACATTAGCGGCCTCCGTAGTCTAGGTACGCGGGTTCAAACCCGGCGGAGGACGTGGAATTTTTAAGGGCGGAAAAATTCAGAGAACAAGTCCTCCGGGAGGACTTTAAGCCGTGGGTCCCGTGTCATAGATTTACGGCACGTAAAAGATCCTCATGTCTCTAGGAGACCTCTGAGCAATTAGACAACAAGTTTCCCGCCCAAGTAGTCTCCAATGCCTCTGGTAGATGGGGGAAATATCAAGTAACGAGGGCCGACCTCGTTGGCTGAACGGGGCTGATAGTACGCACCAGTACCGGTAAGGTATGGCGACAGTAGAAATTAAAGGGGGACGCACAATGGACCAATAACTGGTGTGAGAAGTGACAGGCGGCCAGTTCTGGCNCTCACACCCTCGACCCACCCCATTATCTGAAATTTTTCTTTTGCGCATTCAAGGTTACTCTTGGCCTTGTTCGAAGTTACGTGACATTTGCTATAGCAATAGGTATCTCTTTGGTCAGCAATACAGGGGATTATGCTGGCTAGTAGGACCACTCCTCCATCGTATTCCGGAAGTCCTGAGTTCAAATCTCCTCTCCGAGACCAGCTGTTGTGACCTAGGTTCGTCGTGCTCTTCCTCAATCCCCAAGGCAAATTCTGGGGTATTATCCACTCTATAGCAGGCTGGACGGAACTCAAAGCCGGTCTGGACGCGGTGCAGAAAAGAAAATTTTTGTTCCCGCCAGGAATTTAGATCCAAATTATCCGGTTATGCAGAGCGTAAAAGACCTACAATACTGACTGAGATACATTATAAAACCTGGAGATGAGCCCTTCTTCAGAAGCTGCCAGTTGTGCAGCTACTGAAGAATTTCCCAAAATTTTATGGAACTCGAAGGTTTATTACTTTGTTCATAAGAGCCCTCCACTTGTCCCTATCTTGAGCCAGATGAACCCAGTCGCTACTACCACATTTTTTTTCTCTTCTGAAGATCTGTCTTAATATTATTTTGGTCTACGTAGTGGTCTCTTTTCTTCTGGATTTCTCACCAAAAACCTATGTGCATTCCTCTCTCCCCATGCGTACTATATGCTCTGCCGAGCTCACCCTCCTCCACTTTTTCATTCTCGCTATATTTGGCGAAGAATGCCCTCATTGTGCCTACACTTTGCCTGCAGAGCGTATTTGTGAGTTCCGTGTGATTATTAGAATGTGCGGAGACCTACTGGACTCCGTAATGGAGATGAATTTAGCTTTCTGCCTGGTATCATCAGCCAACGGCCATACCATGTTGCAAACACCGGTTCTAGTCCGATCATTGAAGCAGCATTAGGCGTGGTTACTACTTGGATGGGTGACCGCTTGGACACACCGCGTGCTCTTGGCATTCATTTTCGCCGATCGCAGTGGCTGCTCGGTCTAAGGCATGAACCATCTTTACACGCTCGAACACTGGGATCGTGGGTTCGAATCCCACTCGAGGCATTAATGTCTGTGTTCGTTTATTCCGTGTTTATGTTGTCTGCGACGGACTGATCCCCGTCCAAGGAGTCCTACCGACTATGTATAGATTAAGAAGCTTAAACGGCGGCTAAGGGCCACAAGGGCTACAGAGGCAGAGACGGATGGATGGACAGGCAGAGAGTGTACGACCTTTTTCTTCGGGTGAATTCCTGATACCTCCTCCCAATTTCTGTCTCTGTCTTTCCTCTTGCTTTAAAGGATCAAATGCTTACAAATCACATGACAATTGACTGCCGCCTTTACATTTAGACGTAAACGTGCACTAGTTTCTCTCGGAGTTCATGAGGTCATTAAAATTGAACAGACTTTTATTGTCAATAGTGTCCCTCGGCTCTGGACAGAACACAAGTCGCTGGTCTCGTGTGACTTTGTTTCGTGATAAAGCGACATAAAAGTTCTCATGGTGTAAGTCGGCAAGTCGCGTGTACTGAGTCTCACCAAAGGATACAAGGGATGAAGATGTCGGCTCGAATGTTCACTGTCTCTTGACGATGTTAATAGGTCACGTGGCTGCTAACCTTAAGGGACTGATGAAAGGTAAAGTTGTCCCTGTGCTTAACTGATTAAGCACTACGCCATGAAGACGTGTGGTGGAGCGGATGTAGAGACTCAAATTTACTTCATCTCAGCACTAGCTGAGTGGTCAGCTTCAAGCCCCTGCCGCTTTCCCCCCGTTTAGGTGGGCCCCAGACATAGAGAACTGAAAATGTTTGACCTTACCGGGACTGGAACTCCGAACCCTCGGTCGTCCAGCCCGGAACCAGTCGCTATACCGACTGCGCTGTCCTCAATAGAACTAGGAAGTGAAACGCCCCTTCAAGAAATATAGAAAATTGTTTGGAAAAGTAAGAGAACGGGGAATATGACCTCCATTATTCCTTATAAAACATCGGCACGAACCCCATAGAAACACATTTCAATCTTGTCGCGTATTGTTATGGCCCCGTGTTTACAGTTTCGTTGCTTAGCAATGGATATCTGTTAATGTTGTCACGCGCTTAAGCGGGAAGGCATTTAGTTGCTAACAATAGACATCCACGTTACAACATGTATTTATTCATAAACCACGTGGGCATGATCAGCCGACTGAAATATTTCATGATGACCGAAATAACGTTATTAATATTGTCACGTGTTGCCTGTGTAACGCGACAAGTAAATTCACGTGGGTCTCGGATTTGGACAGTCTCTTTCACACTCGCAAGTACAGTTATTATCAACTTCACTATCACAATCACTTGCACCGCTGATTTCGGTGAAGTGTCTTGATCCCTTTGTGGGATGCGAGCTGGCTTCTGCTCTAGTCGGAGCTACACTAAGAACTGACTGGTCTCGTCGGAGCTGGGCTCTTATAACGTGCACTCTGACTGAATAGAGCGCACCATGTTCAAGGGGTCGGTTTCATCCGCTGGTAGTATTCGTTTCCATGGATATCTTTCCATTTCCGGGGAAACGCATTTGTTATTTGGCGATTCCTATGTAACGGTCTGCTGGTATTGCGTTTCCTCTTATATACATTCTTATCGCAGCCGTTGCCCATCAGTGGACGTCTTATTGCCCGGCTTTTTAGCGGCAAGCCACAATATTTTCATATTATTAATCCCATTCACTTTATGGCCAGTTGCTGTTTAGACGGACCTCCACAAATTTTTAACCAAATACAAAGAATCAAGATAAGGCCTTCAAATTTAGACGCTGATTGGCTGAAAGTGTCATGTGCTCTGTTGGACGCAGCACTAAGAATTCCGTATAAATTAAGGACTCCATTCTCTTTGTGTGCTCACCCCAGTGCGTGACTTGGAAGTGGTGATGGTATTTTTTGGGCTCGTTAGAGTTCCTAATTATGTGCAGTGTTTGACAGCAATAGTTAGCCTCTGTGTTCGGTGAATTCGTGGCGTGGGTGGAGATACGGTGATGATAATTTGGTGAAATAGCTTGCTCCAGCAACTATGTCAACATGTAAATTGAGCAGGCTGGATCATTTCCTGTCAAATCTCTCTTCCCGTAGACCGTGACAGGAAGCACGTAACAATTGTTTTTTTGTGGTTTGTTTTGTGAAGCTGCCAGCAGCTATAATATATTGCGTCGAATGATAGAATGAAGTGGTCGTGGCCTAACTGAGGTACTATCCTAGTATGCGCCTAGAAGGACTGAAGATATCCACGAATTACTTCAGTGAAGATCTAATGTGTTGCGGTGAGACCAGCCTGCTCAAGGTTAAGATGTCAGATATAAACCATTGTCACAATAAAAGAAAAATTCCGTGGACTGAAATTAGCAAGCGAACTATACCAACCGAGCGACCGCCGCTTGCCGGCGAAGTTAGTGCCACCTTTAAGAGATAGAGTGTGTCGCGTGGTCAGCGCAACGGATCCTCAGGCCGTTAATTTCGGTTTTCTAGACCGGAGTCGCTATTTCCTTGAAATAGCTCCTCAATTGTCCTCACGAGGCTCAGTGGACCCCGTTCCAGACCTACTACTTCTCAGAAAATCTAGTAGCGCCGGAATCGAACCCGGGACCTCTGGATCTGTAGCCAGGAACTCTGACCACTAGACCACAGAGGCGGTCGAACCATTTTCACAACCAGTGTCATTGTTGTCATCATTACAGGCTTTAACCTAGCGGAGCGCATATATATGAATCCCGGACACTTCGTGTAAAATTCATTTTAATATTGTCCTCCCATCCTTGGCTCCATCTTCCGTGAAAACTCTGCTCTAATGGGGCTTCACGCCCAAGTATTGTATCTTCAGACTTCGGCTCGCACTACATTCCTCTTTACTGTCATCAAAACCTTCCACGTTTCAGACCTTGTAGTTTGTTCCGAAATCGTGTCAGCGTTTGTAGGCTCCAGGATTGAGTACGTACTTAGAAGGACTGAGGAATATCACGGAAATCCTGCGTGCTACTCTAAACTTCTTCGTCTTCCTTTCGTGTTAGGCCCTCAGAACCTCTTTTCCATCAGAATTCATCTGGAATTATGAATCTTATAGACAGTTGGTAGGTCCCCTTGGACGGGGATCAGCCCTGTCGCAAGGCCGCTACCTACCAAGAACAACACAAACACAGCAGAAACGCGGACAGACATCCATGCTTCGAGTGGAATTCTAGCCTACTATCCCAGTGTTCGACACTAAATTAAAATATAAATACGTCCTCCTTGAGTACTCAGCTCAGTTGTGTGACGTATCGTCACTGTTGGCGCGCGGCATACCTGCGTCCCATCTG